GAACCAGAGAGAGCAAATGAGGGTATTTAACTTATTGCCACACAGATGATTTAGACGTTTATTTTCCCGTTCCCACAAGCCATGCCAGAGGTTTTCGCTCAAGTGCAAATAGGTAAAGACACACCTTTTTTGAGGCAGACAGGGAGATTTACTTGCTGCTTCTAAGGGGGTGGGGGAATATATTTTCAGTGTTTAAACAAAATACATTCTTTCAGCCCATTTGACTACTACCAGGAAAATATTAATTGGAAATTTTATGTTGGAAAATACAAGGTACCAGACACACTGCAGCAAAAAACCTAAATTTTCCCTCGTATTATTGTACTGAATGAAATAACATTCCTGCCTAAGGGACTTTCATGATCTCTCCATTTCTCTCTGCAAAGGCACTGTGTGGACTTAATTTGTGCAAGCAAACTGTAAAGAAATTTGTTTAATCCAAATGAGGGAAAAGGAGGAGGGAAAAGAAGGAAGGGAGGGAGAAAAATGATGCCAATGAAACCGTTTCTAGGTGGATTCAATGTGCTGATCCCAACTCACTGAGTTTTTGCTCTGAAATGTGACTGGTAGTGAAATAATGGGATTATAAGAAACAGAAGAGCTACTGTTCAAAATGTGAAAGGACAGATTGCTCTCAACACACCTCCTAACAAGAGAGCACACCACTGAAATTAATGAGGACAGAGAACAACGATATTTTTAATTAAAACATTTATGTGCTGATATTTCCTAAGAAAATTACCAATCCCTGTTTCATGTATTCTGGTCTCTTTGTTAGAAGGCAGAGCGACTGGCTGATTGCCAAGCTATTGTAGCACAGTTCTCCAAGCTGAAACAAAGTGTGACCAGATACAAAGTCAGGTGACATTTAAAGTGCTTTCCATCAGTCATCAATGGCTCCTCAAAAGCAACTGCTCCTGGATGCCCAGGTAAAAGCTGTGGCCAGGAGCACTTTCTCTTCATTTGCACCTGACAAGAAGCATACTATTTTTCCTTTCCAACATGAGCCTCGATATCACCACAGTAGATCACCACAATGTGCTCTAAGTGGCACTGCCCTGGGTACTGTTCAGAAACGTAAGGTGTTGCAGAACGGAATCAGACAGAAAGCATATTACACACAGGCTACATTCTCTGTAATGGGTGACAGTTAGCTTCTCGGTGGAGTTTATATGAATGGTCTTGACCTAAAAAGCCCCACGCTGTAGGAGACCTGAACCACTCCCCGCCGCATGCAGTACTAGTGTGTTGCAATCAGAGGAGGAGCTTGAGCAAACATTTCCTGCCAGCACCTCAAAGCGTGGCATGTCAGTACTTTTTTAGTACTGCCATCCTGTGCTGTGTCCTAGCACATCAGCTTGCAAAATGAATCTTTGCAAGAAAACCTTCGAAGTGCAAAAAGAATGTAACCGATACACCCATATCTGCCTGAATTTGACTGGAGTGTCAAATTATGTGTACATGATAATATCGACAAACATCCCGTGGGGAACGAACCCACTGGTATCACTTTCACTTATAATCTAAATATTAAACCACGTTTCCAGTCATATTCTTTTGCCCTACACACACTCACGGACACTTCCAACAACACTCTGTGGACTGTAGTCCTGGGGCAGTAATTGGATTAAAACACAAAAATAAGATCTTAAGGTCATTGACACCATGTGCTACAAATATGGAATGCTGGGAATTTCCAAACTCTTGAAGAAAATCTGGACAGCTATCAGTGAAGCTGAAGTATGGCATGTTGTACTCAAATCCACCGGATGTGGGATTTCATCTTAATTTTTATTATTTAAACATACCTAATTTCGAGAAAATCCAAGCACTTCAAATAAAAGCTACTTGCCCATTCTGGAAGAATCTGCACCAGAGGGAATCCGCTTCAGAGGGAAAAGAGGAGAACAGGGCAATTGCAAGTGATCCTTTCCCTGTCACCCAGTCCCAACTTCTGGCTATCAGAGGTTTAGGGATAGCCAGAGCATGGAGTTGCATCCTTGACCATGTTGACTAATAGCCATTGGTGGACCTATCCTCCATGAACTAATTCTTTTTTGAACCAAGTTACATTTTTGGCCTTCACGACAACCTATGGCAGCAAGTTCCAAAGGTTGACTGCGTGTTGTGTGAGGAAGTACTTCATTATGCTTTTTAAAAAACCTGCTGCCTATTAATTTCATTGAGTGACCCCTTGTTCTTGTGTTATGTGAAGGGGTAAATAACATTTCCTTATTTACTTTCTCCACACCAGTAATGAGTTTATAGACCTCTATCATATTCCTCCTTTATTGTCTCTTTTCTAACCTGAACAGTCCTAGGCTTTTTAATGTGTCCTCGGATGGAAGCTGTTTCATACTCCTAATAATTTTCGTTACCCTTCTCTGCACCTTTTCCAATTTTAATACATCTTTTTTGAGACAGGGTGACCAGAACTGCATGCAGTATTCAAGGTGTGAGTGTACCACGGATTTATACAGTGGCATTATGATATTTTCCTTTTTATTATCTAACCCTTTCCTAATGGTTTCTAACATTGTTAGCTTTTTTGACTGCCACTGCACATTTAGCAGACATTTTTCTGAGAACCATCCACTATGACTCCAAGATCTTTTTTTTGAGTGGCAAAAGCTAATTTAGAACCCATCCTTTTGTATGTGTACTTGGGATTATGATTTCCTATGCACATTACTTTGAAATTCAGTTGATCAGTGCATTTCATCTGCCATTTCGTTGTCCAGTCACCCAGTTAATGAGATCCCGTTGTAACTCTTCGCAGTCAGCTTAAACATCTTGAGTAATTTTGTATTGTCTGCTCACCCCCATTTCCAGATGACTTATGAATATGTTGAACAGCACAAGTTCCAGTACAGATCTTTGGGGGACCTTGCTATTTACCTCTCTCCACTGCGAAAACTGATAATTTATTCCTCCCCTTTGCTTCCTATCATTTAACCAGTTACTAATCCATGAGGAGACCTTCTCTCTTATCCTATGACTGCTTACTTTGCTTAGGAGTCTTTGGTGAGGAACCTTGTCAAAGGCTTTCTGAAAGTCCAAGTACACTATAATTGACTGGATCACTTTTGTCTATATGCTTGTTGACTCTATCAAGGAATTATAATAGACTGTGGGTTCCAGAACTAGCTGCTCCAAGAAGCAGTCATTTTTGGTGTCTAGAAATTTTATTTCTGCATCCCTTACTAAGGTGACATATTCTCAATCAATATGAGGATAGCTGAAATCCCTCATTATTAATGTGTTTTCTGCCTTTGTAACCTCTCTACTCTCTCTGAGCATTTCACGGTCACTGTCCTGGTCAGGTGGTCAGCAATAATTCCTACTGCCACTCTCTTACTGTTCAAGCATGGAATTTCTATTCTTAGAGAGTCTATGGTACAGTTTGATTTATCTAAGATTTTTACTTTATTTGACTCTACACTTTCTTTCACATATAGTGCCACTCCCCACCAGCACGACCTACTCTGTCATTTCTTTATATGTTGTACTCTAATATTACCATGTTCCATTGATTATCCTCATTCCACTAAGTTTCTGCCACAACTATCAATATCCTCATTTAATGCCACACACTCTAGTTCATCTATCTTAGTATTTACATTTCTAGCATTTGTATACAAGCACTTGTACGTTTTATCTATATTCTGTTTCACAGATTCATAGATATTAAGGTCAGAAGGGACCACCATGATCATCCAGTCTGACCTCCTGCATAATGCAGGCCACAGAATCTCACCCACCCACTCCTACGATAAACCTCTCACCTATGTCTGAGCTACTGAAGTCCTCAAATCATGGTTTAAAGACTTCAAGGAGCAGAGAATCCTCCAACAAGTGACCCGTGCCCCATGCTACAGAGGAAGGCGAAAAACCTCCAGGGCCTCTTCCAATCTGCTCTGGAGGAAAATTCCTGTTGCTTGCCTTCATGTGTTGTATTTAAATGGGACTCTTACATTTGACTGTTCCTCACTAGCCTCTACTTGTGTTTTACCAACTTCTTTCCTATCCTACTTAGTAGGATATACAGTTCCTCCTTGAATAAATTCATCCCTAAGGGATGTCTCCTCCTGAACCGTGTGCTCCTCCACGCCCATCAGCTTTCTCCCAATCATTAGTTTAAAAAATTCTCTACAACCTTTTTAATTTTACATGCCAGCAATCTGGTTCTGCTTTGGTTGTGGTGGAGCCCATCCTTCCTATATAGGCTCCTCCTTTCCCCAGAGGTTCCCCAGTTCCAAATAAACCTAAAACTCTCCTCCCTACACCACTGTCTCATCTATGCATTGAGACTCTGCAGTTCTGCACTGCAGGACCTTAACTGCCTGGCTATTCTTCCCCTTGAAGAGCACATGTAAATGTGACTCTGATTCATGTGGATGGATGTTCATGCGATGAGGGGAGAGAAGAATTTATACAGGAGCTATTTTTAAAATCACATTAAATCTAATACAATGCCCTGCTCAAAATATTGTATTAATTCCAGTTTTCAGTGTAAGTTCAGAAAGGCACCCCACATTTGTGTTCCTCTAATACGATAATGGCCAAACGATTTAAATAAAATGTGTGTGGGTGTGTAACTCCTGAACTGAGGTCTTGGATAATAAACTTTAGTCCTGAGCATTTTTTTCTTTTTAATCTGCCAAGTAATGAACAGAATTTATTCATTTAGCTATCAAACTGACAGCAGTGTCACTAACTGCAGCATTCTAAATGACACCACTCTGAGGAAAAAGTAACCCAACGTCACTCTTTAGGTGCCTCGCCTCTGCCTCAACAGCATAATTTAAATAATGAAGTGCAACGTCTGGGCTAGTAACTTAACCCAAACTCCTTTTGATGTCAAAGGAGTTACAGGTGCTCAGCAACTTACAATGTGTGCTCAACACCTCATAGGACTTAGGTCCCAACCGAACAGCAAAATATTGAAATCCATTCAAAGGACATAATTACAAACGACCATACTGCAGTTGTTAACTCACATCATTCACTATGTTCTTCTACAGGGAATCCTGGATTATCCTTTATCATAAAGATTTTTCAGAAGCAGCCTGATTGTTTGCAGGTCCCCGGTGCCTTCTCTTTTCCAAATAATGTAAGAAATATCTGAAAAAAACAAACAAACAAAAACAGGTGAGGAAGAAAGAGAAAAGAATCCAGACAATTGCTTAACAAATGAACAGCTGATTTCTATAGCTCACTGGACCAAATGCAGTTTAATGAGCTGCTGATATGGAGAATCCACTATAGATTGTGCATCAAACACTGATCCAGAATGTAAAGAGCCCCTCTTGTTACCAACAAGTAAAGCACAGAACAGTTACTCCACAAACTGTCTGATTCTGAAGCTAATTCATAATTAAAACAATTCTAGGATATTTTTGTTACCATGGTGAGAAGGGAAAACACTACTCATTTGTTGTTTGATATTAAGCCCCGATTGGATCCACACTGGTGGATTATTATGTTTCCACTGAATCCCATCACTGGGGATTCTGTGGAGCTGTAAGTGTCCACACCCACCAATGATTCTGCAGGATCAGGGCCATTATTTGGAATATGTCACGTGTCTACATCATACTATTCCATTTGCAGCAGCAAACACACTGCACATGTTTGTTGTGCTGTGAAATTTTCCACTTGGATGTCATTCAGACCCACCCACAAAGAACCACACACACACACACACACTATAAAGTGACAAAGTGCAGCAGCACTTCGGGAGTATTCAAACCAAACACACACACACACACTCTAAAGCTGTACTTTTGTCCTAATGAGTATTTTCCACACCTGAATTTTTTGATATTATTTTTTCTTTTTATATGTGACCTGAGCCAGGAACATCTCTTCTTAGGCCAACTCTGACCAACTTTTCTGACCTACTGTACCCTTGATACACATACCTGAGGTTTAAGAACTTGCATAAATGGGTTTGGGGAATATGAAAAACATGCCATTTTAAGTGCCAAACTAGAGTTTCAGCCCCAGGTCTTGCCAAATCCTTTTTCCAAGTGTAAATTATGACACAGAATACAAGTGGAAGATTGTATGACAGACACACATATATTTGCTAGCAGTTTCTGGTAGGCTAACAGCCATTTTGCACTTCTCAAGAAGAACTGGCAGGGCTCAAACTTTTTATCAGGGTCCAGCAAAACCACCAGGCTGCAGTCCCAAAGAGAACACTGAAAATATGCTTACTGGTCAGCAGGGGCTGACTTGAGCACACCTTCCATCAATTAAAGATTTAGGCGTCCACTTACTTCTGATCATGGGTCTACCTACCTATTCCTAGTTTCATTTTCTCCCACAAAATTGTTTGTGTCTCCTTGAAATGGGTGTCTTTAAATAGTTCACATTTCATGCATCTAGATACTGTGCTGATTGACATACTATAAATACTGTAGACAGGCAGACAGATGGACAATCAAATTACACTACTACTTCTCACTGATCTTTAATGCAGAATATGGACCTGCAAACTAACTCACTACCAAGGAATATTTAACATTAAACAGCTCTCCTTGATTTTAACAAGAATTTAGAATTTCTTCTTGCCCCAGGTCCCAAACACCACAGAAGAGATGGGCCCCAGCCTTGGATTTCAGGGGTATTTGAAATCCAAATGAAAATCCAGATTCAAGTTACGTAAATGTCTCCTCTGTAATAAGCCAAACCTAAGCCCCACATCTAACAAGTCCCTGGTATGGAATGAGATTTGAGTATAGAATGTGCATCAAACACTGATCCAGAATATAAAGAGCCTTTCTAGCTCAGCACCTCTTGTTACCAATATGGAACTTGATTCCTATTTGGAACATGACTCCATTTCTACCTAACAAAAGTTTCTCCTGTTTTTGTGCAGTTGTCTTCTGAATGCAATTTCAGGCTATGCCTTTTTCTCCCAGTGCACCTTCACTAGCAAACTACACATAAGATCTGAAGCCCACTGTAGTCACTGGGAGTCTTTCCATTGACCTCAATGGGCCTTGGGCCCTTTAATTTAACCAGGCTACAGTCACCTGCACAAAGCCTGCTGGTCCCAGAAAAAAATAGATTTATGGTTGCTAAACATGCAGCAATACTGCAGAGTCTGTGATATGTGTTACAGACTCCTGCTTAGTGTCTTTCTCTTTGAAGCAAAGTGCATTTGCCTCCAAATGTTTCCAACCATTTTTATGGTTAAAAGCTTAAGGGCTAGATGGCGCAAATTGCCTTGAGAGCATGTAGGCAGGAATTTTGCCTCAGGGAGGCACAATCCCTTCCCAAATAGCAGTGTTCATCCTTTAGTTGGTGCAGCCTGCTCACCACCGTGCACACCCAACTTCTCCCTGCAGCGCTGTGCACTCACTGGAACATACAGTGGGATCGTAACCCTGAGCGGCTGTCGGTGGGGCAGGCAAGAGCCCAGGGAACTTCCTAATGTGTGCAACCTGCTCCCACATAATCACATAAGGGCCACTCACACTCTGTAACCAACAACCAAGGTCTGCTCTCATTCATTCTGGTCAGAGTTTGGAGTAACTCCACTGAAGACAGTACAGTAACCAAGGTCTGATGGTAAATGAGATCAGAATCTGGCCCAAAGAATACTAGAGATCTATAACAAAGCCTGTGATATGAGTGCCTACTTTTCTGAACATAGGGACATTATATGGGAAGTACGGCTGGTGTCTCAGTACCCATCTACACTGCAATATAAACCAAGTTAGGGTACTGTACTACAAGCAATTCATCCTCTGAAACAATCGTAACATGGCTTCAATTTGTAGCATAGACTAAACCTTAACTGTGGCTCCATAACTAGGATAAACTTTTGGATGTGCCAGGGTTCACCCTGGTTACAGAGCAGTTAGTGTCACGTCTTCACTACAAACTGCAAGTGATTGAGGAAGCTGTATTTATGGCTTCTAGGCACTATAGTAATACAAGTCATAAATAATAATAACATATAGCATAGCCCTGCCCTTAAGAGGAGCGGGGGGGGGGGAGAGAGGGTGCACATCAAATGCAGCACTGTAACAGAGACCAGCAGACCCCATCAGGAGGAAGAGGAAAGTATATTTTGTTTATGTCTGGACATTAAAGTTGGATCCATGAGGGTCCAAATAAGAAATTAAAATCACAATGTGATGGATGCAGTTACATTAGCAAAACAGAAAATCAGAAATTAGCTCTTTTGCAACATCCTGTATTTATTCCAACCCCTTGAAGAAAAAAGGTAATTCTCTTCAACTTGATCTGAAGGATAGCCAGCAAGAGAGCATCTTTTTGCCCTTCTCTCCCGCAGTTTGTTCATTCACTTTCCTTACGGTCTTGCATCCTATCATTTTGTTTTCCTAATTCACAAATTAGCATAAGTGAATAAAAGTTTTTAAGGGAGGATAATATTGTTCCTGTCTGAGTTGTTTCACTGTTCGCTAGTATCCCTCAACTAATCCTTCAACCCATATAAAACTGTAATTCATTTCCTCATTTCTTCTCCCTCTGCATGATATAATCTTGGACTTCTGTCCCACCGAGAATGGGAAAGATGAGGCTGTGTCTTCCTGGAACATATGCTATTTCAACTACCTAATGTGTATCATCTGTCATATCAGGAAACACCCTGTAAACTATTTTCAACAGGTTTAGGTGATTTTACACAGGGTATAATTTACAATTCAGGTGTGCAAAGGCTCCACTTACTGGAACTGATTCTTATTTACACTAAGTCCCCTTTACAATTGAACTGGCAGTGTAAAGGTTCCTTCAAATTACATTTGCACCCATTTCAAGGCTAGAGCGGTGTAAAGTGACCTTAGTTTGTATAAAATAGGCAGACTGCAGCTTTCTTCCTCTTTGAGGTCCCAATTCTCCCTGGAAGTTGAGGATGCATGGAGCCTGATTCTCCTCTATTGTGCACCTTGTGTAAATGAGCACAATATGGGTGTAAAACTTTTGATTTGGTTGAATTTTGCACCCACTTTGCAGAGGTGTAGATGACTAAACAAGGTGCAAGGCAGTGGAGAATCTAGCCCTCAGCACTTTGCACACCCTAAAGGCCCTAAAACAGAAATGCAGACTGTCTTCCGAGTCCTGTAGTCTCCCTTACAAAGTTCCATCTTGAACCACACTGATCTGCAGTCCCCACAGGTCACATCCCCTGTATTAGGGGTAAGAGCAGCCACAGGCCACCTTTAACGCCATGGCAGCCTGCTAGGCCATGCTGCCCCCCGCATCTTTTATCTGTCTGAATATTGTTTCCTCCATATGCACACACTCACGGGAGAAAAGTGATGCCGTTGAATGTGAAAACTCTTCAGTGAATAGCCAAATCTCTAGAAAGGGGATAAGGTGCCCAAAGAGTATTGTGACTCATGCACTCGGGGCAGCAGACAATAATAAAGATAAACAGCTCCTCTTTAGTGACTGACATGACTGGTCTGGTCCACCGCATCAACCTTGGAAACCGAAGTCCCAAGGTCCTAAACAAATCTGGGTCTTCTTCAAGATACGTTATCTGTCAGGCTGTAATAGATAGTCTCCCTATTATTCTTCCCTGAAGATACCACAAATGAACCATGAATATTCCTGGTTTCTGCATGGAATTAGCCCATGCAAGCATTATCTTTTGGGCAAGGGGAAGCTGATTCTCAGACCTTTTGCTAGGAAGATACTTTCTGGACTTTTGTGATAGTTTTTAGGCCCAAAGGATATCTGAAAGCCATGGGTCCCATTACTGCTTACATCTAGCGCAGCATTCTGTATCTTCAGCTTCCATCTTGTCTCTGCTGCTCCTCCTCTGCTTCCCACCCCACCCATCATCCTCCAACTATAAAAGTGTAAGTGTTATGGGGCATCTTGTACCCGATAACATGCTTCCTGCCACCTCTTTCTCTTCCGAGTGCTAACAGCTACACTAAGGGCGCAATTAAAGGTTCTCTGCCTGTGGTACCGAGATATCCTGCAGACTTGCTTTTGTTGCACCATGCATGGACACAGGCAAGTAACACAGGACGAGTTGGGCAGCAGCAGCAATGCATTACCATTGCTCTAAACACCACGGTCAGTGGGAGAAAGAGAAGGTCGCTTGTAAATAATTGCACACACTGAATTTTACA